CCCGGTCCATCATCTGTAATGGAGCCAAAGACTCGATATTTTTGACTTGAGATCGAATATGATGGAATGAAGCAAAATGACTCACTAAACTGTCTACGCCTCTTCGTTAGGAAGCAGCAGTCGGTCCATACAATTTTCGACGTGATTTTGTACTATGGGTCACCCAGAGACCGAAAACAGTCTCTCTGTGCTTTAATACATGGGTAAGGTTGGGTACTTCCGATTCATGTTACCTCACCGTAGGTGGGAGTCTTTGCAACATTGAGGTCAGGATGACGATGATGAGTGAATCCCGGTCCATTTGAACTAAATAAGTGATTTGTAAACTAAATAAGTGATTTGTAATGATTTTTTTTTAAATAATTACATATTTATGACTAAAATGAAAGTTGTTTACAAAAATGTTACTAGTAATTATAGTACTAACATAATCATAATAACTTATATTCAATTTTTAAGCTTAGGTGGCCATGACACTGTAGTGTAGTAACTATTAGTCATAATTGTGTAAAAAAGTTTTAGTTTAGTAATATTTAGAAAAAACTCTAAATTTTTTAGGCACGTGATCGAATAGGTCTTAATTTATGTTTAAAAATTAATTACAATTGATATTTTCAATAATTAATACAATAGCACCTAAATAATGCTACATAGTTATAAAATTTATCTCTATGTTTTCATTAATTAAAAAGGAAGTGATTTACAATGTACTAAAGTTATTGTAATTGATTATAAAAAGTTTATTTCTATGAAACTAATTGAAACTAATCTTTTTTTAAACTTCAAAGTAATATTGTATTATTTATTCTTATCCATGTGTGTTCATTGTGTAGAAATGCAATTTTATATAGAATATAAACAAATAGGTAATATTTTTTATTGAAGAAAGAGATATTTTAAGTACATATAAAACTATTATCTTCATCCCACAAAAATATGGCCAAATTGACTTTTTGATCAATGATAGTCAATTTTGGATAACTCCAATGACTTTAGTTATTATATTTATGTAAAATTTATAAATTTTCTATTTTTATGAAAGTAATTTTAAGAAAGACTTTTTTCATATTTTTGGATTTTAATAATCCAAAAATACTCTCTCAGTCTCTCAAAACTTTGTCAAGTTTGACCGGTACAGACAGTAATAAAGTAAAAAATGTGTGGCTGAGGTTGAGGTAAAGGAGAGAGAAATGATTAGAACCACAAATTGATTGATTAAAAGAGAATATGATAAAGTTTTTAGGACTCAAAAAAGTAAATATGACAAAGCTTTAAAAGACAGAGAGAGTATCATGGATCAAGACTATCATTGACTAAGAAATTTCGAAATATTTTCGACATGAGGGAGAATATGTTGTGTAACTATTTTGCTTTTTTTTTGTTCAATTATTGTGGTTCTCTTTTGCCCAGGGCCACAAATTGAATGAGTCCGGCCCTGTTATTTAGAGTTTATTATTGTCTGAAACTTGATAGGAGTTGCTAAGAATGAAATGATAGTTGAATAAAGTACACTTGTTTGACTGCACATCTAAAATAACGATTGAAAATGTAAAATTATATTAAAAAAAAAATGTCTTAATAGGCCAAGATGATTTTGAATACCGAGGGAGTAAAGTTGACAAAAGCTTGTGTGAAATTAAAGGATTAAACCAAGATACCGCAATGGTAATCTTTCAAATCAGCTGTTTAATTTTAGATCAAGCTAAATTCATATGACTTCATTCAAACATGGTTACTGTGTGAATTAATTGTCTACTTCGACCAAACTTCATCTCAATGTGAAGTGGAATAGTTTTCCCAACAAAGCATTAATCGTGGCACGACTTCTTTTTACTAAAAAGAAACTTAAATAATTATTTATTAAGCTTTAGTAGTAATATATTATATAATATATTACTTCTTATTAATACTTGTTTTAAGATGTTTATTATTGAAACAATATTTTAAACTCATAATAGAATATATCTGTTAATTATTGATATTACTTACTAATACGAAACCCGAAAATTTATCTTATATGGGATATTACCTCTGTTCTAAAAATTGTTCGAGGCGTCCGACTAGTCCCCGCCTAGGCGTTAGGCGGTGGCCGGACGCCCTGATTTCATCTAGACGCTCCGACTAATTGGTTTATCATTTGTTAATGTATATGTTTTGTTTGTTTGTTTGTTTGTTTGTTTGTTTGTTAATGTATATGTATATCTAAACGCCCGCCTAGCCGCCTAGCCGCCTGGCGCTGGACTGACGCCCAACTAGCGCCTAGCGCCTTTTAGAACCTTGGATATTACACCCAAGCTATTTAGATTTCAATGCACAAAATAAACAATTTCTCACTCTTGATTGAGATAGGAGTTAATACAAACATAAGTAAACAACCCTTTACTTCAAATAGTTTTATCCTTTAATTGCGAGGCCATGTTCTTTGGAATACGCATATAGTCAAACAATTCCCAATGTTACTTGTGAGTCAAGATCATGTCCAAATATTTAAGATTCACTACTAACATGAAAAAGAACCTTAGCTGCTTTATATTTTAAAATAAAGTAGGCTTGACCACAAAGTTGAGGCTTGTTCTCAGAATATATCCATACAATATAGAATGTATAGCAGAGGTTTTTGATAGATGTTTTCAATGATTTTTATAACGAGGTTTCTCAAAATAAATTGGTACTCCTAGTAATTACTGGTCAAATTGCTCAGGATATCTATCCATAAATATGGAAATATTGTTTAGGAGACCGAGATTATCGGGACAAATATTTCTAGTTTCGGGCGTTATTTCGAGTCCTATTGCTGGTCCCGATTCCAGTCTAGTGCCGGTACTATTCATATCGTCTTAACCCAGCCCACATTCTAATGGATCTCACCACCCTTTTTAAGTTGCTTCCCGAGGGACGTAATAAGAAGAAAATGAAATAGGACCTGACATATATGGGCCATTTGGGCTGGATTTGAATCCAGTGAAAACCAACTTGTTCTGATTCGCTCGTGTTTGGAAATGTGTCCACCCCTTAAAAGATGTTTTCTTTTGGACTGTTTTCAGTCCCAGATCAGACCAGACCAGACCAGACCAGATTAGATCAGACCAAACCAGACCAGACCAGACCAGACTTGACTTCCGTAGTTATAAAATATACAGAGACCAGACGTTTACCAGACCAGATCAGCAAATTTCAGTCCAAAAGAAAACATCCTAAGCCGGACTGAAACTTTTCTTATCTCGTTTGCACTTTGTATTAGTTTTTTTAATCGGATTTGATGCGATAGGATTATTTATGTCTTATTTAAATGTTTTAAGACATGGATCTTACTATACTCCGTATTATTTATGTCTTATTTAAATGTTTTATATAATCTAAGCATTTAAGTTTTTTATCTCTAAATTGAAATTGAAATTAATTCAACTAAAACATTAATGGTCTATCATACGGTGTAGAGTGGTGTGAGGGGATAGGGCGATAGGCCCTAGCCTACCTTAAATGGACACAGATGTCTTTCTCATTTGTAAAATATTTGTTGCCGATGATTATAACGGATTTTCTTCCCTAATCACTCCAAATGTACTCTTAATTACATCTTGCCAGTTGCCTCTCCTCTTACCGTATGTCCGTGTTAAGGTGCATTTGTTGAGTATTGTTACTTTTTTGAGTATTTTTAAACCATGGAAAACCTTGCACATGTATACATGTGATCACAAGTCACAACAGCGAGTGTAAAATGTTTCATTGATGAATATCACGAATAATCATAGTACGTCACGTGACTCACACTTCCATTCACTCGAGGCCACGTGACCCACACTTGGTGATTTTTAGGGATGAATTGAGATTTTTCATCTCGTTTGAATGAATTTGATTATATTCATGTTAGTGATCTCTGATTCTCACCCATGTCTATTCCCTACTTTGAGTTGGCCCATATATTAAAATAATGAAAACGTTTGTAGCTCATACGGAATATCTCTTTATAAAAATGAAAGAAAAAATATGAATTCTCTCTCTCTATATATACGATTTATTTTAAAGAAACAAGAGAAAATTTCAATACAAATATACTACGTATAAAAATAAATTTTAAAAATAAAGTTTAGACTCGTGCAATATTTTATACTTGTATATATAGAAAATGTGATATATAGTGAAGTGATGTTTATAAAATTAATGAAATAAAACATACGATTACAAAACAAAATACCCACTACTAGTTTGTGATGTATTGAAAAAAACTCGAACATAAATTCATTATCTATGTGAATTATCTATGTGGAATCTTTCATTATTATAATGTATGGGTACCTTCAACCTGTTTTTACTCTTGTTCTTTGCATCACACTATATAATTAAGCATGAGTACAGACTAAAGACACGCATGCTTTTGGAGGTGTAGTCCAACTAGGGTACGGTTCTTGATTGACCTTCCACTTTGTTAATTTGTTAATGAGTAATGACCATCATAAAATACACAATGACTAGCTAGGAATTATTTGTAGGCAGACATTCACTAAAATACACCATGATCATATCTTAGCTTGGCCCTTGGACTTTTCTATCAAATGGTCACGATTGTCCATGTGTTTTGCAATGATCGGTGTAGTTTGCAACATGCAATTTTGTGATTTGGATGGATCAATCATGTTCAATTACATTGGCAGAGCCACATTACCCCATATATTACCCTTTTAATACAGAAAATGCTAGAAAAACTTCACACAAACATATAGGAAGTATTTTATTTTATACGGAGTCATAAAAACTCTTATGTATGTGTTTTTTTTTTTACGTAGTGCATGTGTTAAAGAAATAATATTGAGGGAGAGGAAAAGATTTTGTGTGTATTTCATTAGTTGTGTAAGTCCCTATAAATATATATTACAAATAGAATATTCCTATATAAGATTCTATATAATATTAATAATATCTTAAAGTATGTTCCTAGAATATTCTGAAGTATATTCTAATATTCTAAAGTATATTCTATATCTTTCACACTTCCCCTCAAGTTGGAGCATAGATATTTATCATGCCCAACTTGTTACATAAATAACCAACTCGGATCCCATTTAGTGCTTTAGTGAACAAATCTCCAAGTTGTTCTCCAGTCTTCACATATCCCGTAGAGATTAATTAATCCTTTTTGTATCTTCTCTCGAATAAAATGACAATCAATCTCAATATGTTTTGCTCTCAATGTGTATGGTAGCTTGATTATCACACCACAATTTAGCAGGCATTGGTGTCTTCAATCCAATTTCACTCAATAAATGGCCTATCAATATGATCTCACATGCAAATTGCGCCATAGTTCGATATTCTGATTCGGCACTCAAACGAGAAATCACACTCTGTTTCTTACTCTTCCAGGATATTAGGTTCCCTCCAACAAAGACACAATAGCCCGAGGTAGATCTTCCATCATTCCAAACGTTCAATGGATTGACTGAATTTCCCAAACCATGCACGAGGACTCTATTTCAAACCATAAAGAGATTTGAGAAGTCGAAAAAATTTCCTATACTCCCCCTGAGCAACAAATCCCTGAGGTTGCTCAATATAAACTTCCTCCTGAAGGTCACCATGCAAGAACACATTTTTAATGTACAACTGATGTAAGTCATGTAACTGCCAATCATGAGTTGCAACGAGTGAAATAAGTAACCTGATAGATGTTAATTTAGTAATAGGAGAAAAAGTGTCCGAATAGTCAACACCATAGGTTTGAGCATAACCCTTCGCAACTAATCGAGCTTTCAATCGAGCAACAGATCCATTTGTATTAACCTTAACAACAAAGACCCACTTACATCCAATTGACTTCTTCCCTGTAGGAAAGTCTACCAAATCCCAAGTACCATTAAGATTCAAAGCATTCATTTCCTCTACCATGGCATGACGCCATTCAGAATGAGACAAACCTTCTTTAACAGATTTGGGAACATAAATAGAATCAATGAAAGCAATAAAAGAACATGAGGCAGAGGATAACTTACTATATGACACAAATGAAGGACTAGGAAGAGTACAAGACCGTGTACCTTTACGTAGTGCTATCGGGAGGTCAAGATCTGATGTAGAGACAAGATCTGAAGATGCAGGTACTGGTTCAGAACATGAGGTCGAAGTCGGACCAGTATCAGGATAAGTAATCACAGGCTGGTGTCACAGGTGGAGGGTGATCTAATGCTTTGTGTCGACGGGTGTAAACCAAGTGTACTGGAGGTTTGGGGTCAGGAACAGGAACATTCGGTATAGTTACTGAAGGTGTAGACGTGTAGTCTCAGGTATAGTAACCGCATAAATGAGTATTTCATCGTTGTCCTCATGAACATCTGTCTTGGATGATGACCAAGGTGTATTTTCATAAAATGAGACATCAATAGAAATAAGATATCGACCTGTACTCGGACAGAAACATCTATACCCCTTTTGAACTCGAGAATAACCTAAGAAAATACATTTCAATAATTTAGGATCCAACTTCGTGCGATGAGGGTTAACATCTCTAACAAAACAAGTGCAACTAAATATTTAGGTGGAATGGGAAATAGTTCTTTATTTGGAAAAAGGCATTGATAAGGAGTTTTACCATCCAAAATAGAAGATGGCATACGATTGATCAAAAAACATGAAGTACACACAACATCAACCTAAAACTATTTAGGCACATTCATTTGGAATAGAAGAGCTCATGCAGTTTCTAACAGATGTTATTCTTTTAGCAACTCCATTTTGAGGAGGGTGTCTACGCATGATGTTTGATGAATAATGCCATGTTGAAGCATAAAAGATTTAAATTAAGGTGTGTCTCCCCTTAACACACAAACGGGAACATTAAATTGAGTTTTAATTTCAGCACAAAATGCAGAGAAATGAGTAAATAACTCGGACCGACGCTTAATAAAATATAACCACGTCATACGAGAATAATCGTCAACCAAAGTAACAAAATATTTGAAACCAGATTTGGACACAACCGGACATGCCCCTCAAACATCAGTATGGATAAGATCAAACGGAGCATTTGCTCGTTTATTAAGTTGGGGACTTAAACTAGTGCGATGATGTTTTGCAAATTCATATGACTAAATTAGTTCATACTTACACATGTTTGTCTCAAAGATTTTCTGTGTATTTCATTAGTTGTGCAAGTCCCTATAAATAAACATTACAAATAGAATACTCCTATATAAGATTCTATACCATAATAATATCTTGTAGTATATTCCTAGAATATTCTGAAGTATATTCTAGTATTCTAAAGTATATTCTATATCTTTCACACTCACCTCAAGTTGGAGCATAGATATTTATCATGCCCAACTTGTGACATAAATAACCAAATCAGATCTCATTTAGGCCTTGTTTGGCAATGGGCTGTTAGCTGTTAGCTATTAGCTGGTTATATTAGCGGTTCAATAACAACCGGTTGATTTAGCTGGTTTGAATGGCTGGTTATGTTGGCTGCTTCTAAATAATCGTTTGGTAATTTAGGTGGATGAAAATAGTTGTTAAGGGTATTATTGTACACTTATTATTTTTATTAGCTGTACAATAATTTGAGTACAATTATTATTAAATTAAAAAAAAACTTCGTATTTGTAATTCTTTAAGAACAATTTTTTAAAAAATGTAATTGTTTAAGAACTAAACTATTAATTTGAATGGAGAGATAATTTTGATTTTAAAAGGCATTAAATTATGGTGTCCATACACCATTAATGAGTAAATACACGGGACGGAAGCTGCGGCATGTACTCATGTGACTCATGTCTATGCACCTCTGCCTCTGTGAGCAGGGGCGGATCACATTCAGGTGGGGCCAAATTATAATTAAATAAAAAATATATTAAAATGTGGTAAGATAGCATGTATTTAACAAAAGTTATTTTCAGATACGTATAAAATAGTATCTGTTGCCACAAAAATGTCAAAGAAAAGAATAATTATATTAAAAGAATAAAAAAATTATCAAATTCAAATAGAAAAAACACCTCAAATTAACTATTCTTCAGTGATTTTCATGGACTGATATTTTCAAATTAGATGTAAATATCAATGTTCTAAAAGGCGTAAGGCGTGTCGAGGCGGCACGCCAAAGCCTTAAGCCTTTGAAGTCTAGGCGGGTGTAGGCGAGGTGTAGGCGTGAAAAGGCGTTTCAGTATTTTTCCCTTTATTTTAGTTTTTCTAGAATTATTTTAAAAGGTTTTTACTAAAATATTACTACTAAAGTATATATCGACAAAAATGTAACTATAGGCTACCACAAGTAAGTTCTATAGTCACTATGATATAACATATGAATAACATCATAGTTACTAAAGTTATCAATGTCACATTTTATCTATTATATATATATTTTGGTTACATATTTGAAATTATTTCTATTTTTAAATATATAAATTTAATATGGAGTACGAAGCAATACTTCTTTTTCCCATTATCTTGCCAAATTTTTTCTTTTTATTATGTCTCATTAAATTAGTTTCATAACATATTTGGTGATAAAATAGTTATGATAAAATAACATAATGACGATTACACAAATGATGATGATGATGGTAATAATATAATAACAATTTTAATAATAATACGATAATAATAAACTAACACTGATAAATTAATAATTATAATAAATAAACAAGTGATTGTTTACTTGTTTAGCATCATTAGAATAAGAATAATAATAATAATTTTAATAATACTACATAAATGAAAACAATTGGGTGTGAGACAAATTGGAACCATGGGCCATAGCTATAGTACGAAGTCAACTTAGCTGCTTTGAAAACTTTGGAAACCTTTTCTAATGCTTCGTATTTGAAATTGTTCGTTATTCTTACTCGGGAGTTTTTCCCACACCGGTGGAACGAGAAGAATACCTCTTTACGGAGCGTTATAAATTAGACTCCGCTGCCACTCCCGATTACAAGCCTTATTCGTTTGAAATGGCTGTTGGCATGCTAAATTAGGTGTTTCGAATAAATCGGAACGCCTTAAGCCACGCCTAGCGGGTATGCGCGGCGTTTGGGTGGCGCCTCACGCCTACTCCCGCCTTGTCGCCGCCTTTTGAAGTGTTTTAGAACACTGGTAAATATGAATATAAAAATTAGAATTATATAAAGACATAAAACTGAAAGCTTAAAAGCTAAAAGAATGACATATAAAGAACAAAATCAGCAAAGGGTTAAAGCAATAAAACCATTAAAGCGCTATGCTTGGCGCCAATTTTCGTGTTACCTATGCTCTCTAAAATAATTGAACTAATTTTCACCTAATAATCCGAACTAAACTAATTTAATTTTTTAGGCTATTGAGATTGGTGTTTAGCTTGTACAAATTGATGGAGATGTTTGAAGGATGAATCATCTTTCAGTGTGGCCTGTGAAAAAAGAGATTTTGAGTGGTAAAAATTAAGCCTCCAAAACACTATGGCCTCCAATGGAAAAAATGGAAAAATATTAAAACCTACATAAGGATTGAACCAAAGTTCCGCAGGTTGATGCGGAAGTCTACTTCCATGAGTCCATCTCGCCCAAGCCACTATTGTTTACATTATGACTTTTCCTATCTTTATACACTTCATTTACAGCACCTTATACTATAATATATACATATTTATATATACTAGTAAAAAAAAAATGAGCATGGGCCTAGGACCACCCTGATCATAGGGCAAATCCGCTCACAGACTGTGAGACTATGAGGCTGCCACATCTGTGAAGGAAGTTAGAAAAAGAATTAAAAAAGAAATAAAAAGAAAAGGTGATCTCTTCGAGCAAAGGGGTTAGATAGGTACTCCCTCCGTAACATAAAGATCTTCCCATTTTGACTTTTCACGATCTTCTAAGTTGAACTTTGACTGCAAATATCTACATATCTATATTTATAAAATTCATAATAAATTAACATTCAAATAATATGTTTTACAATGAGTTATATAAAATAAATTTTTAATCATAACATAATGTGAGTTTTGAATAATTAATGGTCAAAGTTCATAAAGTTTGACCCAAAAGAGTCAAACTGGGAAGATTCTAGCGTTACGGAGGTAGTATTCAATAACAATTAATCAACAAGCCACGGTGAAACGCTGGGGTGGCTAGTGTTTTCAAAGTTGGCTGTTGGGGGATAACCAGCCAAACCTAAAAGCTATTTACCAAACACAAAATTTTACAATTTAGCTGGTCAAACCAACTAAAAATGGTCAAAGAAGTTGAAAATTGGCTCATCAGCCATTTACCAAACATGACCTTAGTGCTTTAGTGAACAAATCTCCAAATTGGGGACTTAAACTAGTACGATGATGTTTTGCAAATTCACATGACTGAATTAGTTCATACTTACACATGCTTGCTTGTCTTAAAGATTTTCTGTATATTTCATTAGTTGTGTAAGTCCTTATAAACATACATTACAAATAGAATATTCCTATATAAGATTCTGTACAATAATAATATCCTAAAGTATATTCCTAGAATATTCTGAAGTATATTCTATTTCTTTCACAGTATGAATTTATTGTTCATTAGAAATTGGGTGGTCTGAGTAGGGGTGGACTGGGTCTAGGCTGCCCGACCCTAGATTGACCCGGGACTAGTACTGTTTGGATTTTGGAACCAGCCCGGGTCCAGTTTTCGGTACCGATACTGACCCGATACCTGGTCCACGGTTGAATAGGGCAGGCTTCAGGCTTGGATTTTGGGGCCGGCCCAGGCCAAATAGGCGAAACAGCTAGAACTTGAAGAAAAAATGGGCGGGCACCAGCTCAGGACCGGTACTGTTAAGACCCGGAGTGGAACCGGTACCGGAGCAAACTGGGTCGGTACCGGGCATTAATTATTTACGTAGTAGTCATTTAATATCTGGCTCGATTCGAACATGTTCCCTATGTAAAACTGGAGTAAAATTTTCAAATGTGCCGGTAGATAATCTCAGGAAAGCTGTATTTGAATAAATTCATGAGTGTTTTGGAACCTGATTCCACCCACCAAGCTATGAGCACTTGCATAATGAGCAATTCTTGATATGGGGCTTAGGAATCTAAAAAGTTCCCATAAAACAATCACGCTGATAGAACACATGATAGATAGAATCCGTGTGACGGTGTGAGGCTGACAAACAGAGCATCTAGTTGGCTGAATAATCAAACAAAATCTGTCCAGGTTATCTGTAAGACCATTTGTAGTGGTTGGGAGTCCAAATTGTTAAATTTGGACTCCGTCCATATGAAAACAGTGTTTTGACTCCGTCAATACTGTTTTTCTCTGCATCCGTGCACCGTCAATAAAATACACTCAACATATTTTTTTACATATCAATTTAGTAAAACATTAATTAATTTATTATAAGTAATGTTTTCCGTTTAATATTTTCCCTAAATAATTGTGAAATAAAAAATACACATTTCGATATAAAAATAAATAAATTTCATTAATTTTTTTTAATGTTTTCGGTTAACAAAAATGAACTTAGTTCAAGTAAAGTTCGATTATAAAATATTCAGTTATTTGTAAAGATTCCATGAATTAAAAATTTGTGTTTCATCGTTTTGTAAACGGAAGAAAACTTCAACAGTTAACATTTAAGAATTTTTGTTTCATTTTAGTGTCATATGAAAGATCATAAAATTTTATGAATTTTGATATTTATTTTGAAAAATTTGGAGAACAAATAAAAAAGTTATAAGAGTTTAAAACAATTTGGGGTTATAATGATGTCACCATGATGTCAGCGAAAACATGGTTTGGATGTCAACCCCTCCCTCTATATTTACACTCTTCCACTCCCCTTTCCACTTTTACTCCCCCTTTTAATCTTCCACTACACACAAATAAGAGTCTAAAATCTCCATTTTTAATCTTTTGACTCCTAATCCCCAATCACTACAAATGGTAAGGGTAGATAATCATGAAGGAGTAGTGTTGGACTGGGACATGCCGGGCCCAGGGCCAGACAGGCTACGAGACTAGGGAATTTGGGCTTGGTACTGGCCCAAGTATGCTCAGGGGACCGGGACCGAGACCAAACCAGGCCAAAACAATGCCGGGCCCAAAAAATTAAGCTCGAAGCCCAGCCCTTAAAACTGCCGGTCCATGCCCCAGGGCAGGCCCAGCCCATCCCTATGAAGGAGGGGTCGACAATTAATTATATTCGGCATATTGGTCATAGTTAAGACAGAGCAAACTCAACAAATACTAGTATACTACTATCAGTTTCCATTGCCTAAAAACGGTTGTGGGAACTTTTATTTGCCTCTAAAATGTCATATTTTTGAGTTTTGTCAACTTCATATGTTGCTTTTTATTTGCATCTTCATGAAAGAAAAGAACAATATGGCTAAAATGTCTATATAATTTTCTTTGCTTACAAGATTTAAGAATAACTCCAGGGTTGCTGTAGATAGTGTTGTCCCTGAAGATTCATCCACAAACCGAACATTTGAATTGATTCGTAATTCTGAGCCAAGTGGCTCAACTCTCATAACTTGTTACAGAAATAAGACAACTAGAAATAATGCAAAAACAAGGACAGAAATTCATAAAATAAAAATTCAACAACCATCCGGCCAAGCATATAATGGAAAATATTACCCAAATTTATAACTAAAAAAACAGAGGGGGGAGAGAAAGAGAGAGAGCTGGGCTTTACTAGTTGGTAAGCTCCATAATAGCAGAGACAATATCTCCATCTGCAGCCTTGAGAGCTTTGCATGCCTTTGCTCTTGAAACCCCAGCTTGGGTCATTACGAGCTCAATGTCCTTTGGCTCCACCCCAGTCTCATCAACATCATCCTCATCGTCTTGAACAGCGGATGATGGCTCAGGCTTTGACACCACATTGCTGAGGTTCGGTGCCTTAAACTGTTCAGCTGCTTGGCTCTGCAATTGTGAGCTCAAATCCTCAATCTTGGCCTCCCCAAATATAACATATGTGTCTGAAGTTGGGCTCTTGAAAACATCCGGTTTTGATATGACAAATAGGATCTGAAAATTAACAAGAAATGAGATAATTAATATTCTATGACAAATGTCAATATTTAGTTAAAATTTCGACAATAAATAACTTACATTCTTGCTCTTCTTGACAGTTACACGACTAATCCCAGTTATGGGCTTCATTCCTAGCTTAATCATTGCCTTGCGACTTTTCTTCTCACTCCTGCTCTGCTTTGTTCTACTACTACCATCTCCATGTTCTGCCAAATAGGATACACCCTAGATTTATATACCAAATATATATTATCTTGCTAATGAAGCTACAAGGAAATAAAGGACTCTCAAACAAAAGCTTTACTCAGCGATCTGAGTACTATGTATAATACCCCTCTAACAAAAAATCATTCCTTTGGTCCAGTCCTAAAATAATCTCTGTGTTTCCTTTGAACAAGAGAAACATGTGGTTTAATCATTTCACTTACTTCTATCAAAATCTCAACTTATTTACATTCTCAATCAACTTCTTAATTAGCGTGCCGCACCCAAACAAAAATAATATTTCAGGAAGCACTGAGTAATAAGCATACATCATGTTATCTTCTTTCCAATGTTAGTACACACATACAGACAACAACAACAAAGTCTACAGTGCCAGGTCACAGGAATTCTGAAGTACAAACTCTATACTTTGATAGAAGTGCCTCACTGACATTGAATCTTCCCCTTAATACAAACCATCAATCCGAAGATCATTGACAAAGAAAAATAATATTCTCACCTTCATCATCATCTTTTTCTTCATCATCTTCATCATCATCATCTTCATCATCATCCTCAATGGTTGGCTCGTCACCCTGCAGGGCATAACATCAATGCATAAATACATAATAAACATATATGCCTTAGAGGCTAGAGCTGTAACAGTAAAGGTTCAGCACATTATTTCTAAATACAATTATCTTCTCATCGAAAAGAGTGTTTTATGAGATCCGGGAATGTTTTAAGTTTCTTTTATCGCTATTTTAAAAAAGATTCATTTTAAAACACCAACAGCATGTTTTCATAAAGGGAATAAAAATATCAAGCAGTCACCAGGGTGTGGTAAGCTTATATTGCACAATAGGCATAAAACCAATAATATAACATGAGCTTATATTAAATGCAAGATAACATAAAAAGATAACTTTTTTTTAAATCCAAACAATCAGTCTCCATTTAATTGCATCCACTATACAAAGAAAGGCTAATGAATTATAATAGGTTCAGCAAAAGATAATCATTTCCTTACCAAGGCAAGCATCTAAACATTTTCTTCAAACTTCCTACCATAGAAAATTCTAACTTTACTTCTAAACCTTGGTATGAAGTGTACTTTGAAGATGAAATGAACAAACAGGGTAATAGACAGGCGAACTAAAAGAAAAACTAAAGGATACCAATTCGCAGAGAATGCAATCACATCAATAGATTTATCTTAAATCAGTAACGGTATATCCAGATTCAACAATAAGGATACAAATTATGTAATAATCCAAATCTGTTCACGGATATGCAATAACAATCGTACAGAAGCGTGCAATGATAGAATGAACTGATTACCTCGATCTTATGCTGTTCGAGAGCTGCAAGAAGTTCTTCCTGCGATTGAGCAGTCATGGTTCTGGAAGGGTGAAAAACGCAGTTGAAGACTCGTAGGACGACGACCCTTAAACCCTAGCAATATCTATCTATCTCTTTGGCCCGGATCTGTATCTATCTATTATCTATATACGCGGTCATCACGTGATAAGGACGCGCCTGACAGTGAGTTGAAGAAAATGGTGGCAACTGGCAACGCATTCGATTGTTTTTGTCGGACGAGTAGTATTCCGCCAAGCCCATTTCTTATTGGACTATCAGATCACAACTCTATTTTCTTTAAAATGGTGCGGCCCATTGTGATTGGAAATGGAAACCCACGTCAAATAAATTTAGAAGATCATTAGCCAAGTGGCTCATAACACTCCTAGTAGGAAAAGTACAAATCTTACTATCTTATAAAATGCGTAAGGGAGTTAACATGGGCCTGTTTCCGTTTGTACAGTGCCAACTTTCGACCCTCCGTCTGTTGCCTCCGTTTGAAGATGACCTGGACTCGTTTGCGCCTCTCATTGCTACACGCTCCTTCGTATACACCGACCTCCTCCCTTCCTACACTCTTCCATCTCAGAATCTAGGGTTCTCAAAATTTCTTCCGCTGAAGCCGCCAAGAGTCCATCGACTCGCTGAGTATCACGACACTCCGGTAATCATCTCCTCTCATGATGTTCTTAGCTACGATTTACTTTCCCGTTTTGCTTCTCTTCTTTCTATTTTGTTTGATTTTGAGCCTGTGTTTTCGTTTGCTACGATGAAAACTAAGATGAAGAAATGAATGGTCTCAGAGGACTCTCAAGTCTCAATGCCCAGTTGAGCTCTAAGCATTTATTTTCCAACTATTTCCGTGTATACTGTATTTTGACTCTTCGGTTGATTAGGGGTTTTGGTAAAAGAAATCAAAGATTTCTCAACCGGGCATATTTCCATGGATGTGGTTGCAGATGCCCACCCCTACATGGTTCGGTTTTTTAGAAGGTGAATCAAAACTAAGTTTGATTGTATAGGTTGGTTCTGTATTGATACAACTTTAACCATGGATGGAAGCCTCCGTTTAGCGTAGAGTAAACTAACCACGATGTTTCCAAATTTCAGTCTGAAATTACCGTTCCATCTCTGAAGTTCTGCCATCTCCCTTTCTATTTAGATACAGTAAATGGCACATTTTGCGCAGAGGAAAGTTCGCCGCAGACCAGACCTCTCATCCTTCCTCAATCCTCTGCATTGGGCGATCAAGTAAGTGTTTCTTCAATAATCTGCTATTTACCGGACTAGCATAATCTGCTTGCGGATGGACGGCCAGACCTCTCATCTTAAGTCATTCCGCAACCCTAGCTAAGATTTCTTCTCCTATTTTGTTTCTCTTTTGTTTTTATTTCATTTCATTTCTAGGTGGGGTTCTCATCTTCTCAATTGCAAGAACATGGTCGTTAGCCATCCTCAATCTGCAATTCTGTCCAATTGCAATTCCCTCGGCTTGCAACATTGATTTCTCTGTTACAGGTGTAGCTCCAATTTTGGTAAATCCAGACCCCCCACCTAAATGATGTTTCCCTTACTAATTGTGATGTTCCAGGAGTCCCTGTTTATGATTGTGATGCTGATTTTGTTTCTTTTGTGACTCTATGTTGGATTTATATTGAATGCTAAATAATGATTTTATTTGGGTTGTTATATGTCTTCACAGGTTGTGTTCATGGATTTACAACATTAGTGACATTGGCGAGGTAATCTTTTAAAGACTGTCCTTTTTGTTTGCTTAGTTGATTTTTATAATTTTTCAATGTTTTTATGTGGAGTAACATAAATCGTTTACATATTATCCTTTTTGTTTGCATCAGTCCCGTGATGAAATTTTTCCTGAGGGCAGACAATTTATTTCTCTTTCTGTTTCAGGTGATAAAGGTCCTCAAGTTGCTCTTCATAAATTTTCTTGAAATAAGTAATGACTAACAATTTTATTGTGAAACAATTTTAGCCTGTGAAGCCGTCCAGCATCCACCGACTCACCAAGTACCACATCTCCCTGGTAAACATCGCCAGAGTGTTGGATGTTAGGTAAGATTGCAGTGTTTTAGCTCAAAGAACTGGTTTTTATCTAATAACATATCACTACGTAATCAAGTTTTCTTTTATGTTGTTGGACTTGCTGATATAGTGGGGCATGAGAAGTTCTATTAATGACCTCAAGCACATTTACATACCATGCTTCCATAGAAAGACATTTGCTCTCTGCCTTGCTGAATAAAAACGAAGCATTACAGGTGTTTGTGAGTTGGTCTCATTGATTTCTTTCTTTGGTAAAGTTTATTTTCCTTCATCCTCCCCTCAACTTGTATTTTCTTTTTAATTCTATTGATACCGGCTTTGATTTCGCTTTAATTTTTCTTTGATTCTGTTAAATGAATGGACATCAAATGGTTCTGTTAAACATTATCTCCTTTTTTAACCTCAGCCTCACTTAATCTTTTATCCAAACAAAGCTAATCACATGATACTTGACTGAATTATAGAAATTTCAGTCTACTATTAGCTTAAAAGGCATCGCAAACATAGCCTTAAACATACTTTCTTGGTAAAAGATACTTCCTTCCGTTCTTTGATTCTTGCAACATTGTGATTTTTGCACTATTCATAGACCTTACTTTGACCACTATTTTCTACTAATATACATAATCAAATTATTACGTATAAAATGTTATTAAATTCCTTTCAATGTGAATTTCCAAAAAGATATATACTAATATTCTTAGACATTTTATAAGATAGTAAGATATATACTAATGTTTCTCTATACAAACGGAAACCTGCCAATCTCCTTTTTCTATTTAGTTTACTACTTTCATGAGTATTAAGCAACATATTTCAAGGTCTAATGTTTCTTAATAGTATAGTTTTACTAATGCATATATGGGCAAGCCACAATGTGTTTCTTAATAGTTTAGTTTTGACTGCACATTCAACCTTCCAATTGAAAATTTAGCATTTGGAATGGTCTACTACACGTTTCGCTTCATTGGAGCAGTGGGCTTCTCCTGTCTCTCCCAAATGCACACTTACTTTTGTTTCCATTTTCTTATCTCAAAATGGAAATTCCTGACCTTAAGTATCTTACCAGTTGAATTGTTTGGGCATTGCAGGTTAAGCACCATTCTGACTAGCATATGTGGAACGTCGGTGTGCTTCTCTAGATGAGGTATGACTTCCTATGACACTCAATTAATTTATCTTATTGTGTTATTTAGTTTTGAAAAAAAAAAGAATCTGTTTTTTTATTTTATCTTAATCATATCAATTTTTTTGTGCTTTAAAAGTTTATGAGAGTATAAAAATTAAACTACAAATAGAGACTGTGAATGACAGTGAAATCAAATTTATAATTAATTAATTTCCTAATAGCAGTAAGAAGGATGAAATGCAAGGCAAATCCCCTTCTCCAATATATGATGAGGTTAAAAAATCATATTGAAAAGAGTGTGAATATGCTGCTAAAGGAAAATAGAAATAAATGAAATCATGGATATATTATACTCTTTAGGACAATACACGCATGGGCGGGTGGCAGTCTAGATCTTATAAAAAAAATACTTTAGTTAAGATAAAACACAAAAGTTGTAACATTCATCTTATATATATATAGTAAGATTTGTTTTTGCTTTCAGATCGTATGCAATTTTCAAGCGCTGGTTCGCACCAGCACCTTCAGAGAGTATACTTATTGATTTTTATAAATATGCACTTTTCCTTTCTTCATTTTCATGCCTTGTGCGAGCAAGCAGCTAATAAAAAACTATTCTTTTTTGTTGGATGATCCAATCCTTATTTCTCCAGTTTCTTTAGTTTCACTTTTCACATTTTTAGGCTGATTGGTTTTTACTAATGTTCAATTAAAAGAAACTTAAGCAGCCACAAGAACTCCTCTAATGACCTCTGAGGAAATCTAAGACGCTATATGTAATGGAAAAGCGGTACAGAGCTTTGGCTGTTCTATAAAAGAGGAAAAGCCTCTAAAAGTAGCAATCCGATATGGCATGCTATCAGAAGGCCAGGGCATCTGCCATGGCATGTGTTCGGGTTTACTGGCTTGAGAGGTTCATTCTCAAGTGAATTAGCTTCACTATGATTCTTCTTATATACACGTATGATGAATTCTTCGACATGAACGTTTCTATGTAAGCCCCCGCCAGTGAGAAGCCCTGACTATTAACATTTTCTGCTGTTTTTTTGTTTTTTTCCCCGCTTTAGCAAGTTGCTGGTACCTTGGGAAGACAGCCTTACTTCTTTTGTACTTGTGCATACTTGTAACCAACATTGGGATATTGCTAACCGTTAGGATTATTCATATGTATTTTTCCTTTACTACAGGTTTGTGAGGTGGGTGAGGATCAAAACCAGTTTGCCCGCACCGGCTAACCTCAACGGCGGCAGAAGACGAATTGGCGAAGTTACTATTTATTGCCTTTTCATTTGATACTTTGGATTTCTTTCATCTTCATCATACCTTGACTTTGAATTCTTGGTTTTGGTTATTCTTCATTATATCTCTACTTAGGGTTGTTAATATTTTGACGTATGGGTTGAGTATTTGAGATTTTACATTAATAGAAGGATTAACTGGTTTTCTTTGTTTTATGGTTTTCTTTGATCTATCCACCTGTTTTCTTTGATAGCTTATTGCTTTAATTGCAGGCACCTTACGTTTGATTTTTCTATGGAGTATTTGAAATTTCAATTAATATATAAATTGTAGTACTAAATATACTAATATGGCTTCCACAATACTCTTTTTTAAATTTAATGCTCCTATGTTCATTCTCAATCTATTCAGGAGTCCATTGGAAATCATGTTTTTATCATGACAAATAAAGCCAAGTTTGCATTTTGGGTCAACTGATTCATAGCAATTTGATTCTAAAGTTTATATGCAGATTTTGGAGTTAATTAGTACTATTTTATTAACCAAGCATGCCCTGCTTCACCTTTCAAGTAAGTTTAGAGTCATTGCCTCTTCTCCTCATTCAATGTTGTTTCTATTGTTCATGAATTCATTACTAAGTTTTTACATGAATTGTAGGTGAACCAAATAAAGACAAT